TCCCGATCTTGGGGTACCTTGCCAAGATGTGGCCACACCAGGGGCAACCCCTTTCCTCACACTGGCCTAACGCCCCCACCCCACCCCTGCCTTCTCACACCGGGTCTGCATGACCTCTATGTCATTCAGGCCTCTGCTCTCACTCCTGAGGAGCAAGGTCGAGTTCAGGCAGCAGGGAGACAATGCAGACCAAACCCACCTAGAGGACAATACGGTCCCTGTGGGTGATGTGGCAGTGCCAGCTGCAGAGCTCTACTGGGACTACCGACCGGGTCAGAAGAGCCGCCAGAGGTGAGATCTCACGGTCTTGCAACTGCCTCCTCCAGGGTATAGAGATGGTCTCGGACAAAGTCGTTAATTTGATAAGCTCTGAGAGATTAAGCAGTGTGCTGATGAAAATCTGGCCATTTTTCTAAGTTGATTACAAGAGACCATGGTTCAGTAATAGCCGCCTTGACCCAGCCTCCCCAGTGGGAGCCACAGTCCTGGCCACCTTTTCATTTCTCAGTCGGTGCTGGACTTTAGAAAGAAATTAAAAAGGGCAGAGGAGGGTCCCCCAAGCCCCACACAGGAACTGTGAAAACAGCTTTTAAAGTTTTTAATGCCCGAGAAGAGGCACTGTGGAGGCCATGTCCCATTGGCTGACAGCCTGGACACTGGAAATCTGAATGCCCCCATGCAGGCTCATCCTCTATGTCAAGCTACAGAGGTCTAGCCTCACTGACACTGGCATCCGAGACTCTTCTAGCCTTCAAACTCTTCAGCCTGGCAGAGGATTGACGTGGCCTAGACTTGGTGACTCCCATTGCCATCTCTGAGCCTAAGCTAGGGTAATGCTGCAGGAAGCAGGCAGGTCCATTGACTTTCTTCTTTTGGACACGGGAGCTAACTTAGTCTATTTTTTTTTTCCCCAGAGCTGAGGATTGAACCCAAGGCCTAGCAAGCGCTCTACCACTGAGCTAAATCCCCAACCCCTAACCTAGTCTATTTTAACCTCTCACTTGGGTCCCACAGTTCCCTCGGCAATTTGTCACAGGGGTGGACGGGACCCCTCCTTCCCACTTAAGACCCTGTCACTGGCCTGTATTCTTACATAATGATTCTTCTCACACTCTTTTCTAGTCATACCCACTTGCCCTGTACCTCTACTTGGTCGTGATGATCTCAGTCACTCTGGGACTACACTCACCTTGGCTCCCACACCCTGTCCTGATTCCCACCTTCTTCTCCCCTTAATAGCCTCACAGGTTCCTACCCCAGACTGTCCTGTCCCTACCTTCCCATATCCAGTAGATCCCCAAGTATGGGATACCTCCACTTCAGTAGTGACTACTTACCACTAGCCAGTTCTAATTTACCTTCAGGACTCCCCCTTCCCTTCCAGACCCCAGTTTTGTTTTTTGGTTTTTTTGTTTGTTTGTTTGTTTTTCCCTGAAACCTATTGCCGAGGCCTTAAGCCCATTATCATCTGACTTTTACCTCAGGGACTTTTAATTACTATCAACTCACCCTGCAACACCCCCATTCTTCCATATGTAAGCCCTCCAGAGCTTACCATTTAGTTCAAGACCTCCACCTCATTAACGAGGCAGTTATTTGAACAGGCCCAGTGGTTAACTACCCACACAACCTCCTTTCTAACATCCCTCCTGCCACATCCCACTTTACTGTTCTGGACCTGAAAGATGCCTTCTTCACTATCCCTTTATACCCTGACTCATACTTCCTCTTTGCCTTCACCTGGAAGGACCCTGACACCTGGTCCTCCAGACAGCTTCGGACTGTTCTCCCTCAGGGTTTTCAGGACAACCCTCAATTTTTTGGCCCAACTCTGGCTCAGGATCTTTCCACCCTTGACCCTGGTCCTAGCACACTCCTCCAATACGTAGATGACCTCCTTCTCTGCAGCCCACCCCTACTCTGCCTCTGTCCCAGTAGGCCACCTCTTCACTCCTGAACTACCTCGGCTCCCTGGGATACCGTTTCCCCACCTAAGGCTCAGCTATGCTCTCCCACTGTGGTGTATTTGGGTGTTCAACTCAGCCCAGGGCCTAAGACCCTCACCTCCGACAGAGTCCAAGCCCTGAGGGATTTACAGCCCGCAGACCAGATTCTCTCATTTTGGGGCCTGTGGGATTCTTCCGTCACTGGATCCCTAACTTTACCATTATGGCCAAGCCCCTATACCAGGCAGCCAGAGAGACACTCCCAAGGGGCTCCTCACCCACCCAGTCACTGTCCACTGCCCCTTCATTTTACTGCGAGCTGCCCTTCTAACAGCCCCCACCCTAGCTCTTCCAGACCTCTCCCAACCTTATCACCTTTATACAGATGAAAGGCTGGTAGTCGCCACCGGGGTTCTAGTCCAGCTGGTTGGGCCTTCCAACTGGGCCATCACATTTCTGTTCAAACAACTAGACCCCACCGTCTGCAGATGGCAGCTGAACTCACACGAGAGGCTCTCAAGATCACCCTGTTCCAGCCAATCATGGTCTACTCCATCCGCTGCCTCTCAGACCTTCTAAGTCACTCCTCTCTCTCACTCCTTGGACCTTCACTAGTCCAAGTCTTTTCATTCACTGTTTCTAGAAACCCCCTAAATTACCGTGGCCTCCAGCCCTGCCCTGAACCCTGCAAACCTCCTTCCTGTCCCTTCCTCCTCTGGTATCTCCTCTCACTCCTGCCCAGTCTGTGGAGGCCTTACGCTCATGCCAGCCTGGTCTCCTAGAGCAACTCCTCACAAACCCCCCAACTCACCCTCTTTGTTGATGTAAGTTCTCTTACAGATAGATAAGGAAATAGTCAGGTGGTGTATGTAGTGGTCATTTCCACTAAACAGTTGAAGCGACCCACCTGTCAATTGGGACCTCTTCACAAAAGGCCAAATTAATCACCTTGACTTGAGTGCTCCAAATAGCCAAGGGTCAATGGGCTAACATCTATATTGACTCTAAATATACCTTTTTAATAGCCCATAGTCATTCTGTCCTGTGGAGGAAAAGGGGCTTCCTCACTACCAGGGGCACTCCCATAGTTAATGGACCCAAGCTCTTGGAGACCTCCAACTCCCTGCAGAAGTAGCCAAAATTCACTGCCAGGGACATGTCCTCCAAGGACCCAGTGGCCTTAGGCAATGCCAAGGCTGACTCAGTAGCCCAGGAATTGGCCTCCAACTCCTCTGGACCAACAGAACATATTTTGTTTTTGACACCCTCCTATCAGCCCTGTTATCAACCAGAGGAGAGAGACGAACTCCTAAAAAGGGGCCACACAGACAAAAGATGGATGGTTCTACTTAAACAATCGCCTCACCCTCCCTCAGGACCAGGCGCTGTCCATCATTTCAGACATCCACCACCTTACACACAGGCCCCAAAGCTTTGTTCCTTTTCTTACAGCCCCTCTTAGCCCCTCTTTGACCCCACCCATCCTTGAGCTTATATTTCACAGGTTCACTCTTCCTGCCAGACCTGTGCCAAGGCCAACCCACAGGGGTCCCTCCAGATACGTCAGGCTCTGCACCAGCTTTGAGGACACATGCCCACTCATAAAAAGCTGTTATCAACCTTTGTTGACAAATTTACAGGATGGATAGAAACCTTCCCCACCTTCAGGGAAACAGCAGATGTGGTGGCTCAAGTACTCCTGGACCACATCATCCCTCTATTTGGCCTGCCACAGACCATACAAATGAACAATGAGCCAGTCTTCACTTCCAAGGTCGTGGAGCTCTTGTTGGAAGTTCTCAACATTTCCTGGAAGCTCCACATCCCCTACCGTCCACAATCCTTGGGAAAGGTTGAGAAGACCAATGGACTCATCATTGAACTCAGGTTGTCTTGGCCCTCCCTCCTCCCCATGGCCCTCACTCGCCTCCAAGCCACCCCATACTCTCCAACAGGCTTAAGCCCTCTTGAGCTCCTTTACGAAGGTCCTTCTTTCTCAATCACCACCTCCTGGCCCAGACCCCTCCACTAGCCGGGTACCTCCCCTACCTCTCCCTCCTGAGGTCCCTTCTCCATTCACATGCTGACAGCTGACTCCCTGCCCCCACACCAATGGACCCAACTTAGCCCTGAGCCTGCCCCACTCTCCTGAGGGGACCAAGTACTCCTGAAACAGCTAGCTCCTAAGTCTCTTGAGCCCCGATGGACAGGACCCTACACTGTGATCCTCCCCACCCTTTTGGCTGCCAAGCTCCTTGGACACCAATGCTGATACCATCTCTCTCAGCTCAAGCAGGAACCTATTCAGGACACATGTATGTCCAGCGGCTGGAACCCTCCAGCCGCTGATTTTCTAAGATGTCCCAGTGAAGGACCTATCTGCTCTTCTGCCTTGTGCATTCATCTTTGTCAGTAGAACCAGGATTCTTAATGGCAGTCATAGGGCAGGTGTTAATAATTTATTTTTTCCTAGCAATTTGCCTTCCCTGCTTCCTCAAGAAACAGATTCCTGAGGTCTCCAGGATGGCAGTTAACTAGATGCTTTGAAACCTATACCTCCCACTGAGTGTGAGCCCCCTGACTCCCAACTCCCCCTCCCCGCATCGTCCAATGACCGCAGGAAGTAGCTAGACATAAACCAGCGTCCACATACCCAAAGAGTGTGGGATGTTCGGGTGGAAGCTCTACCTCAGTCCCCCACTCCATCTCTCTCTCTCTCTCTCTCTCTCTCCAAACCCTGCCCCACCTCAGAAAACCTGCTGGAAGTTGGCTCTTTCCCTGGAGATGCTCAAGACCACACTTACAGGGTAAGTGTAAACTGTCCCCCAGAGAACGGCCATGTGGTTTTTTTGGTCTCTTCTTCCCATCTCCTCTCTGAGGGTCGAAAAATCATCTGGGAGCATTTTACTCATTAAACCCAGACTTTTAATTCTTAATTCGGTTTGATTTGGATTACAGTGTCAGCAGAGAGGCTTAATATCAGGGTACAGAAATTTTTCATGTAGCAGGTGGCAGGCAGGAGCAGCAGCTGAGAGCTCACATCTTTATCTGCAAACAGGAAACAAGAGAGAACTAACTCAAAATGGCATCAATCTTCTGAAACCTCAAAGCCCACCCCAGTGCTATACTTCTTCCAGGAAGGCCACACCTCCTAACTCTAGAGCCACCAACTGTGGACCAAGTATTCAAATGCCTTCAGCTTCTGGGGGACATCTCATTCAAATCACCACATTCCACTCCATGGCACATACAGGCTTATGGCCACATCATAGTGCAAAATGCATTTAGTGCAAAATGCAAACTTCAAAAGTCCCCATAGTCTTCCAGTCTCAACACACTTTAAAAGTCCAAAGTCTCTGAGACTCAAGGAAATTTTTTAATTGGAATCCCCTGCCAAATCAAAAGCAATTACATACTTCCAACATACAATGGCACAGAATATATATTACCATTCCAAAATTGAGGAATCATAGCATAGTGAAGAAATACTGTACCAAAGGAAGGCCAAAACACAGCAGGGCAAACCTCCAAATCCTGTAGCTCCATGTCTGATGTCAAAGGGCTTAAATGGCCCGCCCCTTTTGGCTTTGCTGCCTCTAAGACAGATCTTTCTTTCTCAGGGTGGGTTCTACTTTTTGTATGAAGCTCTCCTTGGCAGATATGCCTTGGCTCTGGCACCTCTAACATCTTGTGGTCTTCATGCAATTCACACTTGACTTCCACATGCCTGGCCCCAGTAGCTCTCCTCGACTGTGGAGGCAGATTCCACAACTCCTTTACATGTGTGTCCTTCATGACTCTAAGCCAGAACTTGATGGCTGACACTGACATTTTGTTAATTCCTTAGGTCTTTTCCTTTCACAAGTTGGAAGTTCAGCTGAGTGGGGTCTTGGCAAGAGGGCATCCATTCCAACGCAGATTTGGCCTCCCTTAACAGTTACAGTCTGTCTTCCAGCACAAGCCTTGGCTGTAAAATTAACTTTGCCAGTATCCTTTTCCTCTCCAAGCTCTACATTTTGTATTTCTTTCTGCCCTATTTGCTCTTCATTGTAGACCTGCAAAAAAATAATTTCTAATAACCACAAAACAGTTAGTTTATTAGGCTGTTTTGAAATCTCTTCTGCCAAAGATACTAGTCTATTACTTTTAAATTTAACCTCAGGCAAGTTCTTACAAAAAGGGCAGAAGGCCACCATATTCTTTGCCAAATATTAAAAGAATGGTCTCCAGTTCAGTTGCTTATATTGTTCCCCTCTGAGAACTTGTGAGCTAGGCCACTATAGCTCATGCTACTTTCAGTACTTTCTAGAAAGTTCCTATTAGAATGGCCCATTAAGCTCTGCTTACAGCATCCAATGGCTTTTCCAGTCCAGAGTTCCAAAGGCTTCCACATTGCTCCCCGAACCACATGGTCAAGTCTATCACAGTAGTACCCCACTCCTGGTACCAACTTCTACATTACTTTTCTATTGTGATAAAACACCATGACCAAGGCAGCTTGTAGGTGGTTTATTTTGGGCTTACGGTTTCAGAGGGTTGGAATCCATGATAACAGACTGAGGACAGCAGGTGACAGGCATGAGGAGCAGCTGAAAGCGTGCATCTTGAACGATGAGCAGCAAACAGAAGGTGGTAACTCAAAATGTCACAAGTCCTTTGAAACCTCAAAGCCCACCTCCAGTAATATACTTCCAGCAAGGTCACACTTCTTAACCTTCCACAAACAGCCACCAACTGCAGACCAAGTATTTAAATGCCCCAGATTTATGGGTGTTGTGTAGCAGTTTCCTCTGAGGTTGACACATTCCATCTCCCAGGGAAGCTCCTTAAAACAGAAAGTAAATAACTCAAAATAGCTTCAAGAAGTCCCTGAGACTGACCAGATTTACTAGGCCCTTTCATTCCAGGCATAAATAAGGTCGGCTGAGCGTCATTCTCGGATAAGCCAAGCTGCAAAGATGACTGAGAGAGGCCAAGCTGCAAAGAAGACTTAAGACCAGCTGTCTGGAGGAAGTAGAGACTGGCTGACCTGTCTGGAAGAAGGGCCTTAGATTGGTAAAGACACTCTCTAACCTGTTGAGTTCCCAGCTTTTGTGAGCTGTCACCCATGCTGAGTGGGCTTTGGTCATGCAGCTGTCTTTGAGTCATTTCTGCTCCTGTGACCCCAATAAAACTCACTGGTTCACCAAGTTGGATTTCAGTGGTATCCATATTTTTTGTCTGTCATGGGCTCTCTATCTGTGGTGAGCAGACAGGTGTGTGTTACATCTCCCCAGAAACATCTGTCACACAAAAACTGGTCTTCAAAAAGGAGAGGACGGGTGAAACAGAGGGCTGCTAGACTCCGTAGGTAATGTGTTAACTGTGGCAGCCTAAAACAATGAGTTCAATGTTTAGAATCCATGAAAGGCGGGAGAGAACTGACTCTACAAAGTTGTCCTATGACTTCTACATATGCTATGCAGTGCCCTTGCATACATACATCACACACACACATGAAATAATATATACTTTTAGTGAGGGAGAAATGAAGAACGCATAGGAAGTTCATTACCACCAGACCTACCTTTAAGAAATGCAGAAGGGAATCCTTTAAGTTGTAAAGAAAGGATACCAGGCATAAACTCAAAGCTATATAAGAATATAAAAATTTTCCTATAATTATAAACACACAAACAGAAAAACTAGTACTATTGTAATTTTGGTTCACAACTCTTTTTATTCTTTAACAGTATTTAAAATAGAAAAGCATAGAAAGTTATAAACTTGTTCTTGGACACACATTATGCTATTTGTGACATTGATAATGTAAAAAAGGGAGATAGAGCTATAAAGAGAAGAAGCTTTGTATGTGATCGAAGCTATTAGTTTAAAATAGATTGTGTAACTTTAGGATGTTTCATGTAAACCTCATAAAAACCGCATATATAATATACACAAAAAGAAATGAAAGTAAATCAAACAAGCCACTATAAATATCAACTACACACACACACACACACACACACACACACGCATGCACATGCACACGCACACACATGCAACAGTTAAAGAAGTAATGAAGGACAAAAAACTGTAAGACACAGAGAACAACAAAATAGCAAGAGTGAGCCCTTTCCTTTAATAGTTACAGTAGTTACTTTGTCAATGGATTTAATTACCAAATAGAATATACAGCTTGGAAGAATGTGTTCAAGACCCAAGGTTCAACTATATATTTTATACAGGAGACTCACTTTAGAAGTAAACACACTAAATTGATAGAATGAAAAGCATGTCCCATTCAACTACAGTAACCCAAAGAGGGAAGTAGCACACAGGACACAGAAAAAAAGGACTTCAGTCAAAGCTGCTTCAAGAGACAAAGGCAATTACATACTGAAATAAGGATATTTATATCACCAATCAGACACAGCAATTATCAACAAAGACATGCCAACTAAAATTGCTAAGTGTATGAAGGAAATATTGACAGAGAACTATGGAAGGAATAAAACTGTTCAAGGGTTACATATAGAATAGTAAGGCAGATAAACAAGAAAAAACAAAACTTGAACACCACCATAGACTATTGTGGGCTTCAAAACACATATACAGAGCACATCACCCAATAATCAGAAAACACATTTTTCTCAAGTGCATATGGAACACTTCCCCATATACATCAGGGTCACAAAGAGCCTTAACACATTAAGGGAAACTACAAACCCCACAAACATGTGTAAAATAAATAGGACCCTCATCCCAGACAGGGTTTCTCTGTGTAGCCCTGGCTGTCCTGGAACTCACTCTGTAGACCAGGCTGGCCTCAAACTTAGAAATCAGCCTGCCTCTGCCTCCCAAGTGCTGGGATTAAAGGCGTGCACCACCATCGCCCAGCTACATAGAACATTTTTAAACAACTGATGGTTGAAAGAAGACATCACCAGGGAAATTAGAACACCCTCTGAAACAAACAAACAAACAAACAACCCACAAAATAGCAGAAGTGTTGGGGTACAACAAAAGCAATGCTGAAATTCACGGCTATGCAGCAAAGTTCTCAATAGCCGAATTTTATTCTTCAAGGAACAAGGAAAAGAGCAAGCAAGCAAACAGATCAGAGGAAAAATAACACAATCAACAATTGGTCTTTCAAATAACTGACATAACTGACAAACTTTCAGCTAGATTCCTAGGAAAGGGGGGAAAAGCTCAACTAACTAAAGTTAGAAACCAATGAGGACACTGGGCTAGGGAGATGGCTTAGTAGATAAAGTGAGTTCGGATCCCTGGAAAAATCTAGGCAGGGGTGTGGCTCTCTGTAATCCCAGGACTTAAAGCGACAGAGACGGGGATCCCTAGGGCAACATGACTAACTGGTCTAGCCGGTCAGGGCCTCTGTATTCAATAAATAGAGATAAAGGAAGGCACCCGTCCCCTACATATATCTGTGCACACACGTGAATACACATACACACAGTGATATACCTTTAAAAGGGCTGGGTATATCATGACAGGTTTTCCAAGAATGAAAATGAAGCACTATAAACTGTATCTCATCAATATATCCATTGGATAACAGATGAAATAGAAAAACCACCAACTTTGATTCATGAAGAAATATAAATCTACACAGGCAGCTCTCTAACTAGTAAGATTACATCTACTATTAAAACCGTCCAAGCAGAGCACACATGACAGTAAATTCTACCAACCATCTAAAGAACAGTATTTTTTTTCTATTTGAGACAGGTTCTCGACATAGAGTCTTGGATGACCAGGCTGGCCTTACACTCAGAGATCCTCCTGCCTCTGCCTCCCAAGTGTTGGAATTAAAGGCATGCACTACCATGCCTGGCCAAATTAAAATTAATTCTGACAAATTATTCTGAAAATTTACAAAGGAGGAAGCATTTCCAAAGTATGAGGCCAGCACTACCCTGATAACAAAACAAATAGGCACAACAATAAAACTACAGGTCAAAGTGCTACAAAAAATCCTTAAAAACCAAACCAAACCATAATCACAACAAAAAAAGCCTAACATGGACTACCAAGCCTCGTAACATGAGTGTGATCTTCAGAACCCACAAGGTAGAATGAAAAATGACTCATGTTATCCTCTGCTACACAATCACACACACACACTAAATGTAAAGTTAAAAAATTTCTAGCAAACAGAATTCAACAATACATTAAAGGGATTATGTGGGGTTGGAGAGATGATGGCTCAGTGGTCAAGAATACTGGCTGCTCTTGCAGAAGACCCCAGGTTTAATTCCCAGCACCTGCATGGCAGATGACAACCATCTTATTAACGCTAGTTCCAGCGTATCCAATGCCCTCTTACAGTCTCTATGGGCACCAGGCACACATACGGTGAACACACATATATACATGTAAGTAGATATTTTATAAAATAAAATAAAACTTTTTCAAAAAGTATTAGGTATTATGTCACAATTAAATGGCAGGATGATGTGGCATAACAACAATAACGAAAATGGATGACGGGTTGGGGTGACAGCTCAGTCGGTAGATTGCCTTGTAAGCAGGAGGACATGTGTTCGAGGCCCCAGGATCTAGGAAAAGTCTTATGTGATGGTGTACATTTATAATCCCAACAAAGGGAAGCAGAGAAAGGTGGATGCCTGGGCCTTACTGGCCAGCCAGCCAAGCCTATTTGGAGAGTTCCAGGACAGTAAGAGACCCTGACTCAGAAAACAAGATGGATGATGCCTGAGGAATGATCCTCAGGGGTTTCCTCTGACCTCCACACCAATGTGCACCTGTGCAACAGGCACTCACGCATACATACGTATAATTGAAAACACACACACACACACACACACACACACACACACACACACAAATACACACATTAGTGAAATACATGGTATCAAGATGAAGAAAAACAATGATTTCAAATGATACAGAAAAAGCATTTCACAAAATTCAATATCCTGTCATGATAAAAACTCAATAAATTAAAAGTAGAAGTCAAAACCACAAAAGTCTACAATACTCAGTGAATAAAGACAAAGCCTTTTCTTTAAAGCCAAGAAAACAAGAATGCCCATTTTCATCACCTGTATTCAACGTTCTACTAGAAATTCTAACAATCAGGCAAGAAGAGGAAGTAAGGTATCCAAACAGAAAGGAAGAGATAAAATTACCTGTTCCATTTGCTCATACTAATGAACAATGATCCTTAAATGGAAATTAAGAAAATTATTCAATTTAGAATAAAGAATTAAAATACTTAGGAATAAATTCAACCAAAGACTTCAAATGGAAAGATATTTTCTGCTTGAGGACCAGAATACTTAAAATTGTTAAAACTCAGTACTACTTCAAATGGCAGATTTAAAACAATCTGTTAAAAATCCATTGATGGCTATAAACAGAGAAGTCACCCTAAAATTCATATAAAACCTCAAGGAACCCCAGATAGCCAAAACAATACCGAATAGAAAAGTGGAGGGGACAAGAAGATGGTTCTTCAGGTAAGTGTCTGCTGTGCAAGCCTGATGACCACAGAACTCAGGCAGAAGAACCTACTCCCAAAAGTCATCATCCTCTGACTTCCACATGCAGCTGTGGCATATGCCTGCACACATCCACACAATTTTTTCTCTTAATTTCAAGGAACCCCAAACAACCAAAACAATGTTGAAAAGTGAATAGATCATATTACTTCAGAATTTACTATGAAGCTCCAGTAGCCAAAACAGTATCATGGGTTTAGAAAGAACAAAACATCAAAAGGAATGAAGTAAAATACAGAAATAAACCCTCATACAGACAGCCAAATCAGTTTTGAGAAGGGATCCAGGGCCATCA